TTTTCGCAACAATAGATAGTCCGTATAGCCTCCAAAGTTTGTAACGTTTTTTTTTAAATCCAGATTAACGGGATTGAGCATTTAGATAAATTAGTAAGAGAAAAAGGGTGCTTATTCACAATACAATTATAATGTGTTAAATTTTGTTATGTTTTCTGTGTATTAGTACGTAACAGATTGTTAGAGGTTACATATTCAACCGTTTTGACCCGAGTTGTAAATTTTGACCCGGTTGAACCGTTTTGACACGGGTGACCCGGTTCTAAACTCTACACTAAACAATTCCACTCTATTTCCTCACTACCATTATCCTTTAAATATTTATTGGCCTTTGACCAATGACGACAATCGAAAAATCCACGTTGTGCTGATAATGGCGAAGGATGTACTGCCTCCAAAACAAGATGTCTTGTCTAAAAATTGAATAGATTTATTCGCAACTAAAAGTTGAAAGACTTAAAGAAAAAAAAAAAGATAAAACCTATATACCTTATTGATGACTTTACCCTTCTTAATCGCATGACTACCCCAAAGCATAAATACTAATCCGGTTTTTTTCTCATTGAGATATTGAATTACGGCATCTAATTTGAAATGAATATATTTAGCTGTCTTGACGATTATTCAAGTAAAAGTTATAGATACCATAACGTACCGGTAAATCTTTCCCAACCTTTACCACTATGGCTTGCTGGCTCATGTGCGCGTACTGTAAGTGATGTGTTCAAAAGTAGAACTCCGGATTTAGCCCAATTGACAAGATACCTATTATTAATTAATGATAGCTAAGCCAAAGTTATAGAATATTATGTCTAACTCATTACTAACCCGTGTTTTGGTGTCTGAAATGTTGGGATATCATTCTTCAAGCCTTTATATATATTAATAAGCGATGGTGGTGGTGGAACGTTATGTGGAACGCTGAAACATAAACCATGGGCTTGCCCATCGTTATGATATGGATCTTACAAACGATGCTAGTTAATATGCTTCTTTTTTTTTTCTTTTAACCTTTACTATATAAACATATAACAAAATACCTTGTCCTAAAATCACAACCTTGACGGTAGAAGGAGGCGTAAATCTTGACCAGCTATAAATTTGAGACTCTATGATATTTAATAGTAAGTAGATTAGAAATATATTAAACAAATAATCAAAGTAAAATAATAAAAGATTAGTATCGAACCAGGAGGGAATATTTTCTTATTATTCGACTTTTCGGTATCGAGAAATTTTTTCAACTAAAAATGAAACGTGAATTAGATACTCTGTTATTGTGTTGCATAGTGTTAAATAAGATATTCTTTGCAAACCTCAACAAAATATGACTTTTGTATTTCATTCACCAATACTTTCAACCACTCGCCATCCATGGTTTCAAGTTCTATTCGTAACAGCTTTTTCATTTCTTCACTCAGTTTTCCGGTGACTTTAGTTACTACTTCCCCAGAAGAGGGCTGTTTGATCCAAGACGTAAGTAAACCTTGTTTTGAAGCAACAGTCTTTTGCTTTTTGCTATCTTGACTGTTGTCCTGGGGAGCATCTTTACGTTTCAACATTTTAGTTAGGTTCTAAACTTTATTTATTACGCGTTCTTATAAAATCAAACGTTCGCGCACATTAAATGTGGTTGATTAAAATATATTCATAACAACTGTGATATGTAACGCGTCGTGGCAGATTTTTTGGGGTGCATTGTTTTTTTTTTTTTGATACTCGTTGCGGAATTTGACCTTTATTTAACCTTTATTTAAATACAAAATAGCCTCAATTTGATATTTCAATTTATATAGAACCCTAAAATTAGCAGATATTTACTACGTGTATTTACCCTAAACATAAAAGTTAACATTGTTACCTTCGTTCAGGGACTGTCAAAAATTTGGATATAAAATCGTAAATTTTTATTTGGATATAAACTTGGTTATTTTCATTGATTAAAAAATATAGCATTTAACATTTTCAATGAATCTTCACTTAAATTTTGTCTATCGGTAGTTGTCGGGTTTGGTTTGATGATTTTAGATATACTTCACGTTTTTTTTGGATTTTGGAATTTATATGTGAAAAAAATAAAGGCCTTGTTCTCATAATTGAAAATACATGTGCACGGCTATAGGCAGTGGTTTGTTTTAGTAGGGCTCATCTTTTTTTATTATTTGTGTGTTTAACAACATAACTTTCATGTTCACAAAAAGAACAACTTTTATATCGTATCTACCGATTAATTTTCAGGGATCTTTTTTCGGTAAATTGTTATACAAACCTTTGCCATTGAGTGACGTGAATAACAACAAACGAAATATTCAATAAAAATATTTTTTTTTGGTCTCTATAAGTTATGAGATAAATAAGCAATAAATATTAAAAAACAGCTATACTAAGCCGTAAAAGTAAGCACTATCACTAGTTGTTGAAACGTTTGGGTATTTTCGGGTATAAC